AACACAAGAAGTGAGCCTCTCGTGCACACATAAAATGTCGTCGTGACGTAATTAAGGCCGTCTTCTAATCGCCTGGGCCCCACTCGGTAACTGTCCGCTTTGGAGAAGTATTCTGTGCGACACGCCGTCACCAGCATTCCGTCGTTCATGGACCTTCACCCGGACGGCGCGCACTTGCTCACTTCCTGCCTCACATTCGGCGCACGTGGTCACGCCGCTCCTCACACAGATTCGCTTGATTTGTGACGCCGGGCAGGGATCGGTGTAAATCCACCTTGAAGCTCACGGCCGTTGCTCAAAAGCACCTTTCCAGCGACGCAGGCTCTTGTCTCAAGAGACCAGTTGTCTCGCAAACGGGCCCACGTGTGGGCCCGTCTTCTGCACACATTCCATAGGTGCACGGGCGGCCAGCGCGGCAGCTCGCGCCCCTTTAGCGGGGCGGGTCGCGACCTGATCTCAGAGTCATGCCGCTGTTGGCGCGATCTCGGCGTGCTGGCTGCTCTTTGTCGCGACGCACTGCGAGCGATAGCCCTGGATTGGGCCTCGGAGGCGTCTGCATCGGGCTAAGGATGGAAGAGACCGGCCATGATGTACGGCCGGTGTCCCATACAAATGTGTGTAGGCAGGGACGCATGTGGCGTTTCGCAGGGTCACACAGCAGTCAACTGTCACTCCCCGCTTCGGGCTGGCATATTATTTGACTTGAGCGTGGGGGTCGGTGGTTGTGCCGTAGCACTTATAGCTTCATTTACAATATTCGTCTTGGGATTTTCTGGGTGTTTGAGGGCGTCCGGCGGAACGCCGGTAGGCAGCATTCCACGAGGGCCTTCGAAATGAGTTCATCGAGTCACAGTGCCGTAGTGCCTGCAGCAGTTATTACACCCGAACCGGCAAATGCTGGCAAGAGGTGTACCACGTTCGCCAGCTGCTTGCGATGAGCCACAGGGCCGATACATTCCGCTCGTCCCAAAGAGGACGGTCGTGCGTTTGCACTCACCTACGTACCTTTGTGTAATCGCTAGCGATACCGAATAATGCTCTTGCGTGCGTGCGTGCGCGCGTACGTGCGCGCGTACGTGTGCGCGTACGTGCGGTGCGCGAGCGTGTGTGTATATGTGGTGTCGAACATGTCAGTGCAATGCACAAGCCACTCGTTACATGCTGCGTGAGGTCCTCCGGTCTGATGGTAGAGCAGAACAATGCGAATCGAGCGAGTCTTTCGGTTTTGTTTTGCCTGCCTTGTGTATTTACAGTCTGACCCGCTTAGTTACTATTTCTCCAGTTCTGACTTCAAAACATTTGTGTACGTATGTCATCACCCGACTTTGATGTAAATAATGGTGTGTATGAATCCTGTCATCGCTGCCATGGTGCGAACAAAGTCCAAAGACCAGCCGCGGAACAATGTGCATTAATCACGAGCACGCAGTTTGCCTTCGTTACATAGTCGTTGTTAGACGTGTGTAAAGGATTTTGTTCAAGCGTGGTGTGGTTTGAAAACAACGCTCAGCAAAACTACGCCGCGCGTGTTGGTCCTTACCCGTCGATGGAAATAACCTCATACGCATGACCGGGGAGTGTCTTTCACCACGACCCCCATCCAACGAACGTTATCTCTCAACATGTATTTCGGGCGGCTACATGAATAAGGTCATACGGTGCACACCGTGTATGGATCATTTGCTACACGGAGCGGAGCAGCCTGGTGGAACAGCTCCCTGGCTTCGGCGGACAATTCTGCGGGCAGGGGTTATGCGCAGCTTACAGCTCACACACTAATACGATTGATTCGAAATCTGCTCATTTGTAGGTAATGAGAGATGGTGTCTGACGAATTGAAGCGGACAGAGGTAGACGGGTTTCATGCGGGAGCTGTGGCTTGCGGGAAGCGGGAACGGGCGAAAACACGGCCCCAGTTCCCAGTTTTATTTCTTTGATGACCTCGCGACCCTAACCAGTAGTCATGATTACCTTTGGCTCTGGTCGCTTCGAGCTTTATGCAGCCTTTTTGGGTATATTGGCAACAACGCATGGTCTCAGCGCGCTCTTGAGTAAGCGTATCCAGCGAAACAAACCACAGCTGGGGCGTTGCACGGGTGACTGGTCACATTACTAACAAATGCGTGGATAGAAAAATGCAAAATCTGACCTGTGATCTGATGCAATTGGGTCAAATATTGATCTAAGACATATGAACTGGCACCAATCGTGAGATCTCGTTCCACCGATGTTTTCGGTTAAGCGCGATCTTCATCGGTCTGGAAATACCAGCGTGATCAAACACGTCGCCCCATCCATCAGTCCGCGCTATGAAAAACGGCGAGTCAAGGCAGGGTTAATGTAGCGGGTACGTAAGTTTAAACCACGAACAATACACCGGGCGTGCCACTGTAGGTGCCGAACCAAAGCATCACGCCGCAGTATCAGACATTGTGGCATGGATAACAGTCAGGTCTGGAAACGAATTAACCGACCCGCGCCTGCCTCTACAGTGTCACATGGCAGGTGGAAGAAGTTGGGGCCGGGAACACATGTTGATGCTGCACAACGACTGCTGTTCGGCCATTACAAATCGGTATAAAAATGTACCGTAACAGATAGCTGAAGAAGTGACCAAGTGATCTCCCGGGCGTTTTAACGAGACAGTTGCTCGCGGCGTGGCGAATGGACGTCTATCAAAAGACAGGCGCGTGTTCCCGCTCAAGAAAAATCACAAGACAGGCGTGGGTCCCGCTCAAGAAAAATTAATTCTGACTCCGGTGCAAAGCATTTGGCTGACTCCTAATTTAACTCCGAGCAAATCAGCACACGTGATGGACTCCGATTCAGACTCAAAATACCACTCTATTGCGGAATCAATTCCGATTTAGTGGATTCTTTCCACACGAGCATGGGAGATCACTGTCGTTCTGTCAGCTTAAAAACACGCATCAAACATGCAACTCAATAATAATAAGGCGGCGAAAGGCGACGAAAAGACTTGCGATGACTGCTGCGCAGTTGTTCTGGCTGCCTGTTGATATTCATGTTTGCATCAGGGTAGACTAATTTCGACGATTTGGTGCGGAAAGGTTGATTCATCTCCAACTTGTGCTCACCTCAATATTTTAAAGCCATTGATTTCACCTTAACCGACAAAAATAGGCGTGCAATTTGTGTTATTTTTGTATTAGATTCTTGCTACGTCCGGTATTATGCGCAAGTGCACACATGCGTCAGCTTGGCCAAGTGTTTTCTTCACCTGGACTCCCTGAACGCCGTGCTGATCATTGCATTGATGTCACACAGGTAGTGTCAATAGCTTGCTATACACAGACAACTCAGTAACTCACTGTTTGCCTCTGCCACATCTGAAAGTTAACTATGCTTTAAACCAAGCCCGCGCAGCAAACAAACAGTATGGGGAAAGTGGAGATAAGCTGTACAACACCATACAGATCTCCGACAGTAAGAACCCCAGGGTGACGGCAGAGATCGTCTCCCCCCTCCCCCTAAATATAGATAATGAGCTCTGCTCACGAAGCACGGCACAGATACTCTACACTAAGCACAGGTGCGAACCACCCATATCCGCCCCAACACCCTGACTGGGGGCAGGGCTTAAACTGTTGACGCGCGCGTGCGGCCCACATATCACGTGCGACGTGATACCTGATACGCGGGCCCGAAACCCTCCGACCACTGTCACCATGCATGGTGTCTTCTCACTGGACAGCTGTGATTCCGATATCTAAAGCCCTAAGCTGAGTTTGGGCTTTACATAAGGCTCAGCAGGCTCTCGCCCGGCCTCGACGGATTTCCGCTGCCCACTCATCACCCGCCTGTGAGTTGGCACTGGACGTACACATGCTCCCTCCCCTAAATGAGTGACGCCCCTCAGCGAACCTTCTGATCGTCTCCCTATGGTCAGAGCCTTACCTCCGTGTCCCTTCCTGGAGCTCGCTGCGTGTCAGTCAGCTTCGCTCTGTGTTCCTCCCAAACCACACTCCGTGCCCGGGGCTTCACACTCGCCTTCCCCACACGAGGATTCCTCTGCACCCTCCGATCGCCCCACTCTTTGTCCCTCTTAAGACCCACTCTATGTCCTTCTTAAGCCACACTCATTGTCTCCCTCAACCTCACTGTGTGCCCCTCTCAAGCTCTAATCTGTGTCCACCGCAGTCTCCATTCTGTATTCCCCTCGAGCCCAATCTCTATGTTCCTCTAAAGCTCCACTCTGTATCTATCTCGAGCCCGGCTTTGTGCCCCTCTCAAACCTCACTCCATGCCCCTCTCACACCCCTTTCTGTGTCCTTCTCAATCCCCTCTGTGCCCTCCTCAAGCCCCATTTTGTCCCTCCCGAGCCCCGCTCCGTGCCCCACCCAAGCCGCTATTTTGTGTTCTTCTCAAACCTCACTCTGTGCCGTTCCCAAACCCTCACTCTGCGCACTCCGAGCCTCACCCTTACACTCCGTGCCTCACCCAATGTCCTCACTCGCGCCTCTCTTTGTGGGCCCCGCCCTCCCTCCCCTTCAGCCTCGATCTGTGTTCCGAACCTCATCCTCTGCCACTATCTGAGTCTCACTCTGTGTCCCCAGCTCCCACTCCTCTATAAGAGCCCCTCGCCGAGTAGCCCAAAAGCGTGTTTCACTCAGCGTCCGTCTCGGTGTCGCTGGGCGCGGCCACTTCGGCCAGCACCTCGAACCACCAGCCGGGAGAAGTGCGCCGCATCCGCCTCCGCCACGCGGCCCGCGCACATAGTTGAGGTCGTAACATAGTTGGCCGGCCACCGTCTGGAAGCAGTGGCTGCCGAAGGTGTCGGCCAGCGCCGGTGGCGCCCTCACCGAACGGTTGTAACTCCACGGCGCGCACGGCCGTCGTGCGCGGGCAGCACCCGCTCCAGCGAGCCCAGGTTATTGACGCTGTACAGGGCAGCCGGAGAGCTCGGCGCCACCCAGGCCGCCGCGCTCGGGCTGCGCTCGCCAGGCGGCCGTGCGCATGCGCAGCAGCGGCTCACGGGCGTTGAGCTTCCAGCGCAGCTCGCGGCCAAGCGCCTCGGCCACGCTCCAGAACTCGGCGACGTCCGCGTGCTCCACGCGCACGTCCAGCCGCACGCCGGCCACCGTCGAGAGGAACATCCAGTCGGTGGAGGGCAGGTAGCGCCGGGCGTTTACCAGCCAGACGGTGGGAAGGTGGGCAGACTGATCGCCGCCGACGCCCGACAGGCGTGCGCCGGCGAACGACACGGCTGCAGAAAGCGCGGCGTTCAGCGAGACGCCGTGGGCGCGACACAGCGCGCGCAGCCGCGCCACCTCCGGCGCCGGCACCGTGACGGCCACCGTGGCCGTGGAGTACGTGCCGGCCGGCTGACTGGGATCGAATGGTTTGACGAACTTGTCCAGCAGCTGGGACTTGGTTGGTTCGATCAGCCGCGAGAGCAGATCCCAGGCCATGTTCCAGACGAAGGACCAGCTCCAGACAGACACCTGGCTCTGGAGCAGCTCCTCCACACTGGGATACACCGGTGCCGGCTCACCGTCAGCTATGCCGAGGCCTCGCAGCAGACAGTCCAGATTCTCAAGAAGCTTGCCACACAACTTAGCGTTACTAAGGCCATCTGTTATCGTGTGACACAAAGAGAGATACAGCACCGCCCGATGAGATGACGCTACCGGCGGAGCGATGTTTGTCGGGTCGTGCAGCAGGCACGCACGCCACAGCGGCCCCGTGCGCGGATCGATCTTGGTCTGTTGCAGCAAACAGTGGTGCTGGTCCAGCCAGTCGCCACCAGGCGGCAGCACCGTCAGCTGCACGCTCGGGCAGGCGCCGGCCACCAGGTACGGCCCGTCGTCGCGCTCCTCCACGCGCGTGCGCAGCATAGGGATCTGCCTGTAACGACATCAAGCCATCTGGTGATCATTGTGCGCCAGGAGTCGACGCACGAGGATCTCCAAGGTGCGGACATGGTGTGGAGCGAAGGAGTGGTGACGCGACGAGCTGGACTGACCGCTCGCCGAATGGCCCTGTCGTGCAATCCATCATGCCATTATTTTCGCACTATACCTACTCTTGGCGGCTACAATGCTGGTCACAGATGATATGGGTACAGTATGCGATTGAACATTGGCCAGTGGTTAGGCTGGGGAAAGGCAGTGGGCGAAGGATCTGGTTAACACATACAGGTATCATTTCAGTAGCTTAACTACCCACATAGTACGTAAGCACTTAATGGAAATCACAACTCAAGAAAACCAAAATCACAGTCAGCGCCTTAGACCCCTCATACCTACGCGCGATGGCCCCATGGCCATCGTGCCTGCGTGCGGTGGCCACATAAAATGTCGCATCTTTTAGAAAAGACTTCCAACCGAGTCTTGAGGTTCGTTCTCATCTATTCTTGGGACACTAGATACTTTTTAAGAGGACTCAAATCATTCCCAAGCGGATGAGCTGCCAATGAGAAGTATTTTCTTTAGTGTAGATGCCAGTTTATGGCGATATACAATTCAATGACTCTATTGCTGCAGTGAAAGCCGAGGAAGACGAACATTTGCTTGAAATTGATGCTAGCCGTCTACCAAAAGAGGATATCTGTGGTCCTTTAGAACAGTGTTTGAAAGACAGCAGATATCCAGAACAATGTTTTCTCGTTCGGAGATGACTGTTATCAACAGGAATTGGGGACAGCAATGGGAAACCCTTGCGCTCCTCATCTGCCTATAATTTTTTGGGACCTAGTTGAAACGAAGGCCATGGCCGCCAAACCATTAGAGCCAACCGTCCAGCTAGCTACATCGATGATTATGCTGGAGTATGGTCGCACAGAAAGCAGCGCTTGAAGAATTTTTAGAGTTCAAGAGAAATCAGCATTCCAATTTACCTTTACAATGGAGCATACAGGGGACGGAAAGGAGATCTCATATTTGGATACACAAGTGACGTTAGACAAGAGAAGCAACCGTCTAACGTTAGAAACGGAGCTTTTTTAAAGCCGACCAACTCCGGTATAATTCTGCACCACGGACCACGTTAAAAAGGACTAAATAACTCATCAAGTAGTGAGAGAGTATAAACAAAATATGGACTTTGTGCAAAGGATATGCTCCACGACTTTTAGGTAGAATGTTGGAAGATGTAAACAAATCTAGACCACGTGGGAGATGGATGTTAGGAAACGGGCATAGATGAACACTTGCCTCGGAAAATCAAACATATAATTGGAAAATCAAACCTATGCATACGAAAAGCTGGGAAGAGTGACAATAAGCTAAAAAGTATCTGGTGAAATCTTCTATCTCGAATCACAAGTGTCCGAGGGGGGGGGGGGGCAAAAGATGTCATTCATGCAAGGCTGAATTTTAAGGGGTTTGCATGCAAGAAAACGTGGTTTACGAAATTAAGTGTAAAGTGTGTAAAAAACGTGGGCTTATGTCAAGAAGTCCATGCGTCCGATTTGTTTGAAATATAATAGATACCTGCGAGATGCTGACAGTAAAACAGCAAACATCCCTTTCTCCCATCTTTTTTTTTGACAAACTGCGCTCAGGCTGAAATCCAGCGGGGAACGGATTCTTTACCTTTTTATAGCTTAAAGTCATCTACATATCACAGGACCATCCAAACAGGAAAATAAAAAGAATCTATTTTTATAAGGAGTCGGTGTCCAGAACCAAACGGACAAGAACTATCATAACCGATCATGCAGATGTGATAAGCACTTTGATGTGTGATGCGTGCTTGCTTAAATTCGTTTTCATGTATGATTGATGCCTGACGCGAGATGCGCGATGTCTGCTTACTTTAAATCGCTTGCATGCATGAGTGATGCATGATGTCCGTTTATTCGAAATTGCTTCCTTGTAATCACTTGCATGAGTAAATGATGTATCATGTTTGATGCCTGTTAACTTGAATTCGTTTGGATGCACTTTGCATATAAAATTACTTCCCTTGAAATTGCTTGCGTGTATAAATGACGCGTCATATCTAGTGCCTGTTAACTTAAATCGGTTGCATGGACACGCATTTTTCGCACAGCTTAATTCATAGATAGGTGCACAATGTATCATACAAATGGCTCGCAATTTCTCTTGTTTAATCCCCTGAATATTGATGACTTGTTAAAACTGTGGCTCCCTGTTTAGAGCAATAACCTGAAAATTTAATACAATGAGCTAGTAATTTTGGGTCAATTACTGATATTCGTATGGATAAGGGCATGCAGCGGAAATATCACATCCATTTCTCCATTCTTCCGCTAATTCTGCGAGGAATAAGGCTATTTATACTGCCTCACCTTCTGTATCCCCATGAAGGTAAATAGCATGACTTAGTACCCAACGCAGGGCCACCGCGAGAAGCACTGTTTTCCGTATATTTGAGTTTGTGAAGTGCAAGAGATTCTGATCCAGGTAGTCCGCGACACAAATAAGTGTGTGTGGTTTGCATTGTTTGTGTGGTTTGCATTGTTTAGATAAAGTGCGTCACCTTGCAATTCGGCAACCCCGCCAAACGCTGCGTACGCACACTATTACTCATATGTGCTCGCAGCGAGCTTGCAGCCGCCGCAGCATGCGACAACGGCGACTGCTGTGACGGAGCTGGGCCGCGGGCGCCGCTATCTGGCGGGCGGTCCCTGGGCCGCGCCGGGAGCAACAGGCGGCCGCGGCCCCACGCCGCTAGCCGGCACCGGGCGGCGTGGTTTCAGGAACCTCCTGTGCCGCCAGTAAATACGACGCTTGGCAGCTTCACTAATTAAGTCGGTCGCTGTCCCGGCCGACGATGTGACTGGTGCAGTCCCAGCGGCCGGTCCCCGAGGTCTGGACATCGGCGCGGCAGACAACGCACAGTGCCGAGAGTGGGCGCGCCGAGTTGTCGCGACGGTGTCGTACGTCTTCACGTAGACTGGCGTCGCTCTCACCAGCGGCACGCTGTTGCTCGGGCGCGTATGCCCGGTGGTGGGGCGGCAGGCCTGACCGCAGTCGGCGGCCGAGCAGGGTCTGGGCCGGTGACCTGCCGCAGCTCAGTGGCTGGCGTGTTGTGCAGCTTCAGCATGCCCCGGTCGAGATTATTGCCCGTCAGCTGCCCACTCGCCGACGCGGCGATGATGATTCTCATCACCATTTTCACGGCGGCCTGAGCGTGTCCGTTGGACCTGTGGTACCACGGCGACGACACCTGGTGGCGCATTCCCCACCGGTCTAGGAACGGTCGGAGCGTGGAGGGGGTGATCTGCGGTCCGCCACCCGTCCGCAGCACGACGGACACGCCCGTCGGGGGGAGCAGCTGTCGCAGCGGCTCCACCAGGTGGTCTGCTGAGGCCGTCCGAGTTGAGACCGTCACATGCGGCCAGCCGACAGCCTGTCCACGTATACGAGGAACGTCCGGCCGACGAAATAAAAATAGTCTGACGACACAGAATAGAAGACGCGGTGCGGGAGGTTGCCCACTGCCACAGCGGCCCGTTGCCTGCGGCTTGCGGCGAGCTGTCTGCAGCTCTGACACGATGAGATGATGTCGCGGATGTTCGGCCGATCCCCGGTCGGTACATAAAGAGTCGTGTGCGGCGCCTGGTCCTCTCCATTTCCCTGGCGGGTGCCGTGAGACGAACGAGGACGTTCGCGGCATAGACTGGTCGGAGTCACGAGCCGCGCTCCCCTGGACGATGAGAACGTCGGCAACGCCCAGCATAGCACGGACTCGCCAGAGGGGCCGAAGAGCTGGCTCTTCTTCGTGTTATTGCTCGGGGGTAATCCCGCAATGGTGACGTCACAGACGGCTCGGAAACAGGGATTTCAGGCGGTGGTAGCTCGAACTGAGTCCAGAGTCCGGTCTCAAAGCGGCGCGATCCCGAGCGCCATCTGCAGAGGTCGCGCTTGGAGCAGCAAGTACGGCGTCGCGCGGTGCGTCCGTCACCTCCGCGACCTCTCCTCCCGACGCCAGTCACTGACGGGAGAGCGCGACAGGGCATCTGGGATGCAGTGCGAGGTGCCCCTCCGCCGCTCGGCTGTGAAATGCAGTTCGACATCTCCCGCATCCGCTGAGGCGAGGGTTGTCGATCTCAGACAGCCTCTTTGAATTCCGGATCGGGACAAGCGGCCGGTGGTCGACGACGATGTCGACCTGCGGCAGGCCGGCCAAAAAATGTAACATTTGCGGAGGGCACACAAGAGGGCCAAGCACTCCAGCTCCACCATTGCATGACGTGACTTGGTGTCAGCAAGGAAGCGGGAGCCGCTATGGAGCAGCTTTCACGTATCTCCATGGCGCTGCTACAGGACAAAACCCAGGCGTTGGGTTCGCGCAGAGTCCATCTAGAGCGTGTTGGGCAGCCGCGGGCAAAAAAAACGAGAAAAAAAAACGCCGGAACGAGCGGCGTCATTCAAGCGTGTCTTTACTGTGCTGAAACACCTCCTCGTGCTGCGCGGTCCACCTCCAGACAGTGCGTTGCTTCAGCAGGTCTGGGTAGGTTGGGCTGAGATGGCGGTGTCCGCTGAGAGTCATCCAGCTGATCGGAGAGTTCCCAGAACGACCACAGGTCAGTTAAGCTCTCTGGATGGGGGAGCTCTGAGATCGCTTGAGGCTTGCTTTCGGGTGGTCGTGTAGCCCTGATCCAAGATCCGACAGCCGCAGTAGTCCAGCGACTGCAGAGTGAGCTGGAACCTTCGCGGATCCATCGCGGTGCCATCTCTCCCGGCAGCGTCTGAGGACGGTGACTTCGTGAGAGAGCTGGGTGCGGTGGGTCGCGTCGTGCACCAGCAGGTCGTCTACGATCGTGGTCGTCCTCGGAATGTCGCCTAGAGCCGCGCCACAGCGCCGGCCCGTACCTGTCTCCTGACGCGGATGACACCCCTCAGGGCCTCCTATGGAAGTTTGACGCAAACCCTACGGAGTGATGAAACGGTGAGATCCTGCAACTCCTCCACGATCCGAGGCCTGCAAGTATCCCAATGGCGGCGTCCAGGGTGGTGGGCCACCGCGGCCGTCTCCGTCCGATGAACGCGGCTGCGGTCCTGGATCGAGTCTGATGGGGTAGGCGGGCCTCTCCACAAACCTGTTGATGGCATGTCATGTCCCCGACCAGGCTGCCTCTTCGCTGACGTTTCCCTCATTGGGCACAAGGATTACACCAATCTGTTGGGTGGGTCTACCGAGGCTATGACACACTCCGGCCGTCACGTCGTCGAGGCGGGTCTTGATATCTGCTCTTTTGAAGCAATACGAGGAAGGTCCGTGCGGCATTTGAGAGCTGTGGAGGAAACTGCGTTACACTGCCACCTCAATTTACCGTGGGGGCCGCCGATTATCATGCTGAGCGTCCGTTGCTATCGAATGCATCTCGAAAATGCTGTATCGGGGCGGCTTCCTGTGCGGCCTCCGATACCGGCCTTTAGGGGGTGGTAGGCATATTCCCATGCAAGCAGGGCACTGGGTGCTTGCTCCAGGGACGGTGGCTTGGAGGCTTCCGGACCGCGTGCTTCGCCATGCCCCGAAGCTCCGAACGGCACCCAGCGCTCCCGGGCCACCCGGGTCGCTCTCTGCGCGCTGCGGGGAACAGCGTGCAGGCAGCGGTGGCTCAGGGTCCAGCCGGCAGACGGCGCTGGTTGTCGACTGACAGGTGGCGGTAGTGGGCGGCCGGCCGACTGCGGCCGGGTCTGGCGGTCGCTTCTTCGGTCTGGGCTAC